CACTGTGCAGACGGCTCTCCCAGGCACTGGCTTCGGAACGGCTGCCAGCAGGCGCGATGGCGTGTGACCAGGCGTCCCCCATGCCAGCGTCCCCTCCCAGCTGGTCCCACCTGCACCCACCTGCCCAGCGCCTACTTAGCACTGCTGTGACGTCCACTTAGCTTACTGTCACAGGGTTCTCACGGGAACACGCCGGGTTTCAAAAACAGTTTTTGCACTAAAATAAGTTCATCCTCTAACTCCATTTTTCCATAAAATCCCCCCATATAATAAATCAATTGTTAAGCTGAGTTACAGTTGTAATAATATTTAACCTAGGCCTAATTTTCATTTTTAAAAAAGCAAACTGACTTCATTTACTTAAAAAAAAAAAAAAGCTTGGTTAGAAGAGTCCTAGAAACCGATTTTAGAAAACACACCATGTAAAGGAGACAGATAAGAGAAACGTTGGCGGTGTGGACTTACCTCGGGGCCCACGATCACCATGTACACGTGCGGCTCTTCTCGGTGCCAGTCTGGGGGGAGAAGAGTGAGAGAGCGTTAACCGTGGGTTTACGTCGCGGCTGCGAACACGGTGCCGTTGAATGTGAGTGCTGCACGGTGAGTCTCTTCACATCATTTTGTTGTCATGCACAGCCGTGGTCAGCTTGAGCCGCCTGTTTAGGTGAGCTCGTTGGACACTGTGTGTTCCTAGTGAGTCTCTCCCGCACCGTCCCACACGGTCAGGGTTACCGGCACTCTCGCCAGGCCTGACATGCCACTGCTCCATCCGGGGTCCACGGAGGACAGCTAGATGAGCTTAAGCCACGAAGCGGATAGTTACTGACTGTTTCTATGATTTCTTCTAAACCTGAGGACATGGAGAGGAAAGATGTGGGGAACTACAAGGCGGAGCGAGGTTCTGGCTGTTTCCGGAGGGTGCTCTGCACAGTTCTGCACTCGTGTGCGGGACAAGCCTGAGGGTCCTGTGGAGAGAGGAGCTGTGACCGCCACCCAAACGGAGCTCCACACCGAGCAGGGAGGTACTCTAGAAACATACCTGAAAACGCGTCCACCAAATAAAGAGGATCCTTCACTCGTCTGAGCCCGCAGACC